ACCACAGGATGATGTTCCAAAAAGAAGGATTGCTGGGAAGAGATAGGGTCCACATGACAAAGAGCATCTACACAGACAGGCTCGCTAACCTGGTGAGGAGGCCTGTAAACTCGGTTCGTGGGGGGATGGAGACCAAAGCCCTGAGGCAAGTGGGGATATGGGTGACCTGAAGGAAGAGCAAGCAGGAAGGGGCAACAGGGGAAGTGTTCTCATTCTTCCTGAGATATCAGGGCAATAGACTAGTTACCTCAGGTGCCTGTACATGAATGCAAATGCATGGAGCCGGGGAAACAAGCAGGAAGAACTGGAAGTCCTTGCATAGCCACAGAACTATAATGTAACTGGAATAACAGAGAGTTGGTGGAAGCTCACATGACTGGAGCACTGTCATGGACAGGTATAAACTGTTCAGGAAGGACAAGCAGAGGAGAAGAGGAGGAGGAGTTGATCTTTATGTAAAAGAGCCATATGAAACCAGAGACAAGCCTGTCAAAAGTCTCTGGGCTAGGGGCAGACAGGAGAGCAATAATGGTGATGTCATGGTTGTGGTCTGCTATAGACCACCAGATGAGGAGGAAGCGGTGGATGAGGCTTTCTTCAAACAGCTAGTGGAAGTTTCCCAATCACAGGCCCTGGTTCTCATGGGGGATTCAATCACCTTGACATCTGCTGGGAGGGCAATACAGCAGTGTACAGGCAATCCAGGACATTTTTGGAGAGTGCTGGAGACAAATTTCTGGTGAAAGCGCTGGAGCTAGCAACTAGAAGCTGTGCTCTTTTTGACCTGCTGCTCACAAACAGGGAAGAATTGGTGGGGAATGTAGTAGCTGATAGCAACTTGGCCATTGGATGATTGAATTTAGGATCCTGAGGAAAGGAAGGATGGAGAGCAGCAGAGAAACCTGGACTTCAGAAAAGCAAACTTCAACTTGCTCAGGGAACTCATGGGCAGGATCCCCTGGGGAGCCAGCCTAACAGGGAGTAGAGTCCAGGAGAGCTGACTGTACTTTAAAGAAGCCTTACTGAGAGTTCAGGAAGAAATCATCCTGATGTGGCAGAAAGACTAGCAAGTATGGCAGAAAATCAGCTTGGCTTAGCAGGGAACTCTTCAGTAAACTAAATCACAAAAAGGAAGCTTATAAGAAGTGGAAACTTGGACGAACTAGGGAAGAGTATAAGAGTCTTGCTTGGGCATGCAGGGATGAAGTCAGGAAGGCTAAAGCATTATTGGAGCTGTACTTAGCAAGGGTCATGAAGGGTAACAAGAAGAGTCTCTACAAGTATGTCAGTAATGAGAGGAAGATCAGGGAAAGTGCGGGTCTCTTACTGATTGGGGGAGGCAACCTAGTGACAGAGGATACAGAAAAGGCTGAAGTACTCAATACCTTTTTCACCTCAGTCTTCACTGGCAAGGTCAGCTCCCAGGCTACTGTACCTGGTGTCGGGACCAAGGGTCGGTCTGAGGCTATGGCCAGTAGCCCAGACCGTCAGGTGGGGTTTTTCCACGACGGAGTAGAGTTAGGCATGGAAGCATATTGGTTTTACAAAGAAAGCTTTACTTACACTGCCAATGGTCACAGTGCAGGGAGGAAACTTGCTTGAGTTGCAGTTGCACACAAACAAACACAAATGAGATCTCTTCTGAACCTCACCAAACCGAGATGAGTCATCGATGTACGACTCCACGAGCGCTTCACACGGGGGATACGTCAAATTCACACTATGACGGGGAGTGGCTAAGAGCTGATCAGGCCTCTATGTCCTCCTCCAAGACACACGCAGAGTTTACTAGGCTCCACAGCGCGCTCAGAGTTCTCCACGAGATGGTTGTGGAGTCCTCCAACTTGGGCAGAAATGCATACGTGTGGCGGGAACTCTTTTTTGCACCGGGGAATTCTCTCTGCAGCTGAGAAATCCACCGTGCAAAGAAAGCTCCATGTGGTGGGAAAATTCCAATGTGCCGAGGCACTAAAAATCATTGGGTTATGACACCTGGCAGCACAGTTTGGGGAGTAGGTGAGCAGCTAACAGTGGTGAAAGAAAGGTAAGGGACTCTTTAGAAAAGCTGGACATATACAACTCCATGGGGCTGGATGGTGCTGAGGGAGTTGGCTGATGTGATTGCAGAGCCACTAACCATCCATTCATCCAGCCCATACTTTGAAAACTCATGGTGATCAGGAGATGTCCTGGATGATTGGAAAAGGGGCAAACATAGTGCCCATATTTAAGAAAGGGAAGAAGGAGGATCCAGGGAACTACAGACCAGTCAGCCTCACCTCAGTCCTGCAAGAATGTTGTGAGTATCTGCTCCATGATTTTTCCCGGGACTGAGGAAAACTAAATAAATATGATGGCTAGAAAACTGGCTGGAGCTTTGGGCTCAGAGGGTAGTAATCAATGGCTCAATGTCTAGTTGGCAGCCGGTATCAAGTTCTGTGCCCCAGTTTTGTTCAATATCTTCATCAACGACCTGGAAGATGGCATAGAGCACACACTCAGCAAGTTTGCAGATGACACCAAGCTGGGGGAGTAATAGATATGGTGGAGGGTAGGACTAGGATGGACATGTCTATATGTGCCCACAACTGAGCTTTTGTTACTATGCAGTCATTTAGTACTTGCTAAAGCAAGTCCCGTACAGTACTGGCAGTGCACGGGTCATTTCAAACCCTATTGTGCAGTAGCTCATTGCTACTGCACAATAGTGTCAACATCACAGTCCATGCCTGCCAATGCTATGTAACCAGAGCTTGTCACTATAGCAATATAGCATCTTGTGTAGATGCACCCAAGGTGATCTAGACAAATTGGAGGATTGGGCCAAAAGAAACCTCATGAGGTTGTAAAGCAATGTAACAGGTTACCCACAGGGGTTGTGGAATCTCCATCCTTGGTAGTTTTTAAGATCCTGCTAGACAATGCCTTGGCTGAGATGATCTAGTTGGAAATGGCCCTGTTTGAGAAGGGGGTTGGACTAGATGACCTCCTTAGGCCCCTTCCAGCCCTAATTTTGTAAGATTCTATGAATTGCTTTCACACCTAGGAGAGGTTTAAAGCTTAAATGGCTGAAGAGAAATAATCACTGAAAATTAGCATCTGAGAGGGGTATACTAAATAGCCAGTTAAACAGTCCCTTGAATTGAGGCCCGTGAACCAGATCCTCCAGACAATGATGAGTTTGCCTTTTAAAAGGAGAGACCCTAGCATGAGTATCACCTGCAGCCATTTCCCATAGTGGAATAATTAAGTGAGAGACTTGATGTTTTGAATATGTCTGAAAGGATGCAAATATTCTGGTCATAATTAGAGCAGGAAAGTTTTCTGGTCTTGTAACTCCCTACACACTTGGGGAACAGGAAGTTATATGGTTGTACGCATATCCTCCAAGAGCACTGTGCAGAATGTATGTAGATGGTCACATAAAAACCATACTTAAGCCTTTCCAGGAGATGAACAAGGGTTTATCAAAACTTCCTGGGCATAAGGCACTTTGATTCCTCAGCTAGCTGGTGAGAAGGAGGTTCTTCCCTGGGTTTAAGATGCAGGATAAAATCAGATTATTGTTCTGATACTTTCTTTTGTTTTTTTTGTTCTTATATCCCTGTCTATACCTCAGCATATATTTACTGATTTCTTATTTTTGCTCTTGTTTTTACAATAAATCTTTGTGCTATCTTTCATAACATACTTATGGTCAATAACAACTGTGATTTAAGAGCGTTTGACTGCAGGAGTGGGAAATCTATCTTTTCTGAGCACATAAATGGACAAGGGTGTGATCCTTCTCTCTGGCACAATCTCCTTTGCTGAGAGCTGGCAAGACTTAGGTGAAGCAGGTCAAGCTAAGGCTTATAGGCCAAGGAGCTGGCTTTTGGTACATCTAAGTCTGTTCTCAGTGGTCAAGAAGTAGATGCAGAGAAGGACACCCCTGAAAGTATAAAAACACCCCAGTAGTTTGTCTCAAAGGTGCACATGACTGTATATGGAACCTGGGTGTGTCACAGCTAGCAAGGTACTTTGCTGTGACACAAATAAGTAGGCAAGTTCATCTTAGGTGTCAACATGTTAAAAAGAATCTTAGCTGTGTGTTAAGGTAGGGGTTGGCAAAACACAGCTTGCAGAGCCATTGGATCTGGCCTGTGGACATGGGGCTTTGGTGATGTTTGGCAGTGGGGGATTTGGTGATGCTCCAGGAGCTCTCCCCATGCCACTGTGGAGGGCTATGTCAGCAGTGGGGTCCTAGCACCTGCCCACCCACCTCTTACCCACACTGTGTCATTCCAGCCCACAACCCAAAAAGTTTGGTGGCTACTATATTAAGCCATTTTCAGATTATGTTGAATAGGGAGAGCGACAGAAAGAGGAAAGATGGAACAGTTGCACAGATGTAGTGGGGAAGAATCTTAGTGACAAAGGATTGTAATATGATGAGCTCTTGGTAATGTGGCTCTATAACAATATTTGCAGGAGCAGGTTATTTTAGTTAACATCTTGAAAAGGACTAGTCCATGTGTAGTTGGGGTTATGCTCCAACTTCTATCTTCAGACTGACTCTATTAGCTTAAAGTGTTCTTTAGTTCTCACCAGACACAATGGTCAGAAGCCAGATTAATTGCTGTTATAAGAAAGTGCAGGAGAAAGGAGAAGATAAAGATGTCCTGAGTTCATCAACCTGGGCTTTTTCTAATACTCAGATTATAGTCAAAAGATTTTTACCAAATTTGGATGTTTAATTTGGGTCATGTAGCACCTGATTTCAGAGTACTTAGCATTAATGATATGTTATGTGCTCAAAGCACAACTCACATTGACTTCACTGTTGCAGCCATGATTGCTTAGCACTTCTTCAAATTAAAGGCCAGGGGGCCAAGTTGCACACTCAGAAAATGATTAACACAATTAGTTACCACCTACTAGCTTTTGTTTGGTTGGAATGAGTTAACAGTCACTACAAATACATTCTGTGGCAATGGCAGAGAGAAAATCTAATTCTCTAGGACCAAAGTCAAATCCTTAAATGGGTTTTGGCCACCTGAATAAGTATCTGAGCTTTTTGGCAGACTTTTACAGCCCACGATGAAGCCACTGCTGTTTAGCCTTCAATACTAGTGTTTCCTAAACTAGCTAAACTGAGTATGTGTGCTCTGACTTTCCTTTGATGTGTAGGAATGGCTTCAGTGGGTACAGTCTTCTGCTCATTTCCTAGAAATTTGAACTCTTTTGCCTTGTCCCATCCCACCTATTCCTGTCCCTGTCTTGTTTCTTTCTCTTCCTGGCTCCCTTTCTCAGTTTATTTTGTATGAAAGTTCCCAAGAGTGTCATGGGTGTTGTGGGATGCTTTGTGGATGTGGTACATGGGATGGTCTGGAATGCATGTTCTTGTGGACTCTTTTAGAGTCAATTACTTCTAAAAATAGTTAGTTGCAATGTCAGGGGGAATTAAATCAATGAATTAGATAGCTTTTTCTGGTCCAGTATTACAAAAGTCAAGCTAAATCTTTTAGATTGTTTCTAATTGCCCCCAAATCATTTGTTGGTGGTGCTTTTTATTTTACCAGAAAACCCTGAAAATATTCAGCTTTGGTACAACAGGAATTGAGTTTTCATCTAGTGATTTTGGTTCTTGCACTGTACTAGAAAATCTATAATTTGCCCAGCTCAAACTTTCCTATTAACATTCAACTGGCGATGGACTTCTCTTTCAGAGGGGGTAGAATTCCACAGTATCACTTACAGCAACAACACCAACAACAACAACAGCAGCGGCAACATTTTAGAATTCTTAACAGGAATCAGGTAATCATTTTGCTTAATTTATTTTTAGTTTCAGTGATTTAAAACCACTAACTGCTCCATTGCTTCTGGCAAAAAAAACAATTGTGATGCAGCTTCTGTATTCTGTTGTTATTTCCAGCACAGTGAAGCACTCATCCGAGCATAGGAAGGTGGCAGAGTTTCTGCATTGCTTACACATAGTGATATAGTACTTTTACGATTCTAGTCCCAAGCAAATCTATGGGAAAATTTCCATTGATTTTAATAAAATTAGGGTCTGCCTCTAAGAAGACAACTTGGAAACATTCTATCCATTCTTTAAACATTTTCCCCACAATTTTGTGTATCAAGTGAATGAAGGCCGAGATCAATACCACAACCCCTTTTCCCCTCAAACCAATGCAAGTCTAATGCTATTAATTTCAGGAAAAATAGCAAGTCGTATTTGCAAAGCAAAATAAATAATTAAATAAAGTCCTCTGCAAGTCATCATTTGGGGTTTTCAAAGTAACCTGTGAGAGTTAGTTTCCATCTCCCAATGAACTACTATGCAGTGGGAATTAGAGGCCCAATTAACTTTGAAAAATCCCAGCCTTTATGAATGAGACAACACTTCTAAGCATCTGTCCTATTATATTTTATTTTAAATGTTTTAGTCCTAAGTATTTTGCCCAAAGGCAATTACAAAATGCTGAAAAGCAGAATGAATGTAAAGATCCTTTTGTCTCTGAGAAAACCTTTACTTGTTTTAGAAAAATGAGACCAAACTACTTAGATTAAATGATAGAAATTACAGATAAATGCATAGTGTTGCATCCCAAATAGTGATTTATACAATTCTTGTACATATTCTATATACAAATATATATATTACACACACACACACATTATGGTTGAAATAAGAAACATTATTATCCATGCAGAGTAAAGATAACATATTGAAATATTCCATCTGATTATATCTTAGTAAAATCTTAGGCATTCATTATTATTCATGCACAGCAAAACCATGAATTCATAACTGTGTCTCTGTAGGCCTCAACTATGCTTTCAGGGAAGTAGGACCTAGATCATCAAGGTATTTATGTGCCTAATTCTAACTGAGGTAGGAATCTAAGTACTTGATCATTAGTCTATAATGGCAAACCATGGAAAACATCTTTAAATTGCATTACAAACTTAATGTAAGCTTAATGAAAAATATTCTCATCATTACTATTGTGTAGAAAAAAGAGGGACCATTATATTTTTTGCTAATTGTGTTCAGTATTATAAAAGGAATAATTAATAATCAAGCAGAGCATTTCCTTCTTATCATCTTCATGATGCTAATTAAGACAGAGAAAATTTAGGTCTCGTTAGAAATTGTTGGAAAGCCCTGCATTTCCAAATTATTTCAAGTTTCATTTACAGTCAAGAAAGTGATTATTAAAAGTTCTACAGCTCTGGGTTTTTTTCACATCTGATTATTTTAGTGATGTAAATAAAGTTTTAATCTTGTCGGCAATGCAGATTCTATAATGTTATGGGAGAAGGAGACAGATTCTATGTTATGAACATTACCCTGATTTAAAGCCCATTTAAGTCAATTGCAGTCTTTCCACTAACTCAAATGGATTTTGCATCTTGTCCTAAGGACCAGGTGTTCACTTCCCACAGGGAACTGAGTGATAAGAAAGAAAAAACAAACAAACAATTCTTGCTACATTTTTGGTTGTAGCCGTGTTGTCTAAGGACATAGGCAGGCAATGTTCTTTGAGTAGATGTAGTATCTTTTATTGGACCAACTGAGTAGTTGGAAAAAAGTTATTTGTAAGCTTTTGGGCACAAGCACCCTTCTTCAGGCATGGGGAGTCTCTTCTATTCTGAGACTCCAGGGAATGAAAGAAGCTAAAAGTGTAACAGGAGGTCAATGAGAATGTAAATAGGTAGAAATTAGGAAAACAAAAGGTAGAGCAGGGAAGGAAGGGAGAAAAAGAGGGGGCAGACAAGCCAAAGGTCAGTAAGGGAGACTCTACAGCAGTAGTAAATCATTCTCAGTGACATCCTGTCACTTATAGCTTCTTTCATTCCTTCGAGTCTCAGAACAGCAGAGAGTCCCTATGCCTGAAGAAGGGTGCTTGTGCGCAAAAGCTCAAGAACCTTGCCTGCCAACATCCTTGCTAGGTATTGAGGCATCTTGGGAGGTCTCCTCATGCGTTTATCTGAGCTTCTCCTTTTAAAGGGAATAGTCTTGTATTCTTGAAGAGTAGGAAAACAATGCAGCCTTGAACTAAATGGAGGAAAGTGAGCCCTGGCATCGAACATGAGAACCTAAGAGTTGCCATTCACTGGGTTAGACCACAGGTCCATCTTGCCCAGCATCCTGTATCAACAGTGACAGAGAGTGGATACTGAAGGACAAAGTGAACAGGGCATGAGCAGGGTCTTTTCCCCACTGTTCCTCTCTCACTTGCAGCGTCTAGCATTTAAGATCCAGGAAGTTCTGATTCAGAAACTGTGCCCCTGACTCCCATGCTCCATAGCTACTAATGCACCTTTCCTCCAACAGTTTGTCCAATCCCTTTTTGAATCTGGCTAAATTGTTAGCTTCCACAACATCTCATGGCAGTGTGCTCTACATTTTAATTACATGCTGGGTGCATCCACACATGAAATTAGTGCAATGTAATAAATTCTGGCACAGTTTACACTAGAGTTTATTGCTACAGAGCACAGCATTTACACACATGCCCAGGACTGCAGCATGTTGAGCTGGGATGGCCCCAGTTGGCAGGAGGCCCAGGGTGGGGGGGGTGTCATCCTGCCCACCTGGAACTGCTCCACCCTAGCTCAATGTGCTGTGGAGGGGCTGGCTATGGCATGAGGGTGAATCAGTGCAGGGCTAACTGGAAGGCAGCTTTTACCACAGTTGGCTGCTCACCTCCTCCCCAAACTGATGACCACAGAGCTGGCACTGGGGGATAAGGATCTTATAGCCCCAGTCCTGTGATTATGGAGTAGAGGCTGGGAACTCCCTGCTACCAGGGCAAGTGAGACATTTGCTCCTGGTCAGGCATCTACACGTGTGCTACTGTGTAGTAAGTGATCTTGAGTAAATTTGCTACTTGCATTTGCTGATAGCAAATTTACTCATGATTACAGCCAATTACTGTGCAGTATGTGTCTGCACGTGTAGATGTGGACACTTACTGAGCAGTAATTAGCTCTATTGTATACTAAAGCATCTTGTATAGGTATGCCACTGGCCTGTAATTCCTTGCATACCCCCTCTAGAGCCTTTTAAAAATATGGGTGTCACATTGGCGACACTTTAGTCGTCTGTTGCCGAGGCTAGGTTTTTTTTAGGCGGGGGGGCAGGTTGTACTAAAGATCCTAAAGTTTGTTTTGGATCATTATAGGGTGGTTTAGGCTTGTGGTGCATGGGTTTGAAGGAGAGATGGAAATAGTCTTCTCGTGGATGCTATTGAATGTAATGACTATTACATGGTTGCTTGTACTGCAGAAGACCTCAGTGGTCCAGGTCAGCCTTCCTTGAAGACTTATGTTCCTATATAGGCATTAGTTATGACAACTCTGGTTTGTGTAATTCTAGTTTGCAAGTTGTAAATGCTGAGATAATGGCAGATCATAAATCAAAGGACTGTTCTGGTCAAAAGGCAAGCTACCAATATAACTGTCTTATTAAAAAAACAGGAAATAAGAGTCTGGTGTGAGATCTGAGCTCGTAAAGATAGGAAGTAAACTGAGTGGGGTGGGGGGGGGGGGGGGGAAGAACTCATCAAGATACCTACATTCTGGAAAAAAGTACCACATTTCAAGAAATGGAGGGAGGCATAAGGAATGATCCATTAAAGATTTCATCAGAGCCATGGACCAGATTGTAAAGTGAGCTTTTTTTTCACCCTATTTGTAAGAAAAGTTTGGGCTTTAGAGTCCTTTGATTGGGTTTGAAATCTTCCTATTAAAAGTAATTCCTTTTATAAGCTTAAAAGCATCCATCCCTCAAATGTTAAGTACATTTATGGTCTAGAAACGTTTTGTAAAATACTTATTTGACTTCTAATTTCATGTTCCTACTTACAGAGGAAAACCTATGTTTATTCCTTAAACACTTACATATGACATACCCTCTTTTGAGAGATTTTTATTCACATTTTTATATTTAAATGCAATGCTCTAATATAACAAGTTGTTAATATTATAGTCATGTACATGGTAAAATATTTTAAGTATCTTATGAAATTCAGTGATCTTGCTACAACTAATGTAAAAAGCCATTTAAGCATAAAATATTTATATTACTTGTGGATTAATTAATTATCTAGAAATGCTTAAGCAACTTCTTTCCCAAACACAAAGTAACAAAAACACTTTTACAAAAATAATTAAGAAAAGACAATGTCTTCCTTAATGACTATACAAGATTTGAAGTCCTTCTTAAAACTCAAATTTAAAAAGACTATTTCAAAGCTGGAAAACATCAGTCTAGAAAATAAACATTTTTGGACTCAACTGAAGCAGAATTTCAGCTCCTATAAAATCCCACTGAAACTAATTGGATACCTCAGGAAATAGACTTTAAAAAATAAAACTCTAACTTGGAAGAATGTTTGGAGTCTTCCCCGCTGCAAAGAAACAGTCAACCATGAAGCTAAAGGAAAGCTGTAACCTTACTGCATATGTAGCAGCAGATAATATGTTCATGACCTGAATATACTAACAAGATAACTCCATGAAAACCAGTGCAAGAATGACAGCCCCTAATATTTGAACCCAGCCAACTCCCACAAAAGGTGTGCCTTGGACTTTCAGTAAAACTTGGCACATCTCCATATACACAGTTACTGCGCAGTAGCCAAAAATTACTGCACAGACTGGGCACGTGTCTACATGTGCGTGCCCATACTGTACAGTAACTATGATGACTTGGGCGTAAACTTGTTACCTGCATCATGCCAGTAACAAATTTACGCCTGAACAGTTACTGCATAGTAAGGCACATGTAGATGGCTTACTGCACACTAACCCTGTGTGTGTGGACGGACTTGGGACTAACACACCGTTACTGCACTGTAACAAACTCACATGTGAATGCCAGCATAAAAAACTGCTTATTGTGCAGTAAATGCACGTGTAGGCACCCCCACTGTGGAGTATAAATCTTTCTGAACTAAGCAAGCTGTGCGCTGCTCTCATTCTTCACCTTTATAGCTCATTCTGTTTATCTTTGCAAGCAATTAGAAGAACAGAACCAGAACAAGGCATGACAGTCTCTAGAAGAAGAAGACTTCATTGTTTCCTGAGTATCATGGATGAGATGAAGATAAGCAAACACTACTGAGGATTTAGATACAGATTTTTTGGAAATTGGAATATGTTTTTAACATAAGATAACAGCAGTTTCTCCTGTTAAAACATATCAGTGCTTTGATTATGCATTCCTGGAAAGCAAAAATAAACTAATCTGAGAAAAAGTGAACTTTAATCTAGAAGTTAAAAGTATTAATATGAATTAATTTGCCTCTCTCAAAACAGGTCCTTGAATAACTTCTTTTAAGTAACTGCTTTAAATTCTGTTTTTGGTTTATTAGGATTTCATCAATATTCGCAAATGAACTTAGGGTGTTTAGTTGCAATGGTTGCAAATCATTGGAGTGCTGTGACATATTAAAGTTAGCATATTAGCTAATCCTCACCTGAAAGACAGCAATTTTGCACTGCCACAATTACTCTTAATATGTACTAAATTGCTTGAACGTGTGTTTGCTTGCATTTGTAACTGCATCCAGTAAGTTGTAAATTGAATGTGTGACACCACCCTTACGCATCTAAAATGGGTCTTGGACAATGTTGCAGACTGGTGCTTCATCCATAGGGCCCATCCCAACTGCCTCCCACTCAAGAACACCCTCTAGTCCAGATACTGTGACAAGAGGTGGCAGAGGTAGGGGTATGAGAATGAGACCCTGCCCCACATATTGTGCAGCTGCTAGCTCTACTCAAGAGCCTAGCAACTCTGCCAAAGGATGCTCCATCCATTAGGATGGTAGCTATGAATTATGCCACCCCAGGCTGCAACAGCCATCTGCATCTGGGCATTGTAATAGTAGACAAGGACAATAACAAGGTCCTGAGGATCAATGTGATGATCCTGTTTGAGAACTGATGGCAGATTTTGCTGAAGCGTATTTATGAAAGCTGACCAAACACAAGCCAAGTCTCACAAGCTGAGACTCTAAGAGAGATAGGTTATGATGTGATGGTTCAGGCACTGATTGCTGGAGGACTTGGAGCATGGGGCTCAAGCAATGAGAGCATCTTACTAGCCTGCAGAGTACCTCACTGCAACTTGAAATTGATGATACCTCATCATTTACAACACCATGATGAGAGACATCTATGTTAAGTGCATCATGGGCCATCGCCAAAATAACAGCCACCAGGCAGACTACCAGGCAGAATCAAGATGGCAGATATAAGATGATCCCTCTCTTACATACTAGAAACTAAAAAAGACTTTTAATGCCTTTGACTTTTCCCTGCCCAGCAATGGTACACCACATGGTAAAAACACTGTCTAAATGTCTTGCCACTTTATAACTCTGTACTAACATGGTTACCAGGCACAAGGTCTTATCTCTGTTCTTATCATGCTATGGTATGGGGACTTCTTAACCCACTGTGCCCTGGGCTAACATAGGCTGCATGATTATCTGTATATTTTAGATTTTATTCACATAAAGCCATGTACCTATGTAGCTACCCTGAGTGTGGTCCTATATTCTCTTCCAAATCAACAAAGCCATATAAATATCTATGATTGTTAACATTTGTTAATAAAATTCTATAACTAAATTTAAGGGAAATATTTGCACTTGTTTAGGGACTCAAGACCACCTAGGCGCCTATGTTTTTCTCCAAAAAGCTATTTAAGCCATGTCCATAGTTCAGGTACTATGCATGCCTAGAGGGCTAATAATAATCCTTTCTTTTACTGTAATACCAAGTAAAGCTTGTCCCTAGTGAAATCTAGATTTGGATCTGCCCTGTCTTACTGATTCTAAGAAATCTTTTGACACACCTCTTCTGAATTTTTAATATACAATCCAATTCCTTTCCATAGGGCAGTAAGCCCCAGAAGGCCTGTGTCTACTTCAGTTCTGATTCCTTACCCAGAACATAGTCCTAGTGAAGTAAGATTCCTCAAGGCAAGTATCCTTATGTCAATCAGAAAACTGCAAACAAAGACAAAGAGAAAGCCTAGGAGCTTTCTGACTTAGTAGGTTGCCCACCCCATGTTTATGGTACACAATACTCTATTTCTTATTCAAATCTAGAATCTGTACATTTGGGGGGGGGGGCGGGAAACAATCCCCCATTTGTTCATTTGTGAAACCAAAGGTTCTAGCAATAGAATACTTTCCTTTTCAGTCTGGCTTTTGTTTAGTAAGACATAGGAGAAATAATGAGGGGAAGCAATGATATATGTAGTTTGTAGGACTGTATGAAATTTTGCTGGGTGTTCATCTCAACACTGTTTTGATTGTTTCAAGCTCAAAACAGTGAAATCAAAATGAAATGAAAGGCTTTGGAACATCCTCAAAATGAAATGAGGGCAGTCAAAACATTTTGAAAGTTTTGAAACGTTTTGAGTTTTGAATCTGGGCTTGGTTGCAGGGAAACAGGAACTAAGGAGAGGGAGGGGGAAGAGTGGGGAAGGACTGCTCTGATATTGACATGTGTAGCTGGCCAGTGACTGTCATCCTTCCCTGAGGTCCTTTCCAATCCCAGTGCTCTGGGGAGGGATGAAAAAAACAGCATAAAAAGCATCATTGTTTGAACTGAGCTTTCTCTGTGCCTTGGGGTCAGTTACTGAACTGTGTCATCCAGCAGCTCAGCAGTGTAAGAGAAAGGCTACCACTTCCTACTTGCTAGCCTGTTCCTAGAAAGTGAGATTTAATACCTTTTGCTTTCTATAGCCTTTTATTATTATATTCATTCATTCATTTCAATTTATTCCTCCCTGAAATATTTTTTTGTTTTTGTTAGTCTATTTTGATTCTTTTCCTCCAGAAAAGAAATGTGTGCTTTTTCTCACAGTGTGCATTCCATTCACTGTGCAGGGAAGCATGGCGTATATTGCATTTTATAATATAGAATTTATTCAGGAACACATACTACATACATTTATATATTTTATTTATTACATAAATACATACATACATTACATAAATACACATACATACAATTATCTACATATATTACATAAATACAGATTACATTACAGAAGATCACACAGATTTTCCAGCACACCAAAGAAACACACTATGAAACACACCATGAAGCATGGTGGAAAGATAGCTGGCAAGCCTTCATGGAGGAGCAGAAGAAGGAGTAGAGGGAGAGCTGTAAGTCCCCCCACTTCTGACCCCAAACTGAGATGCAGCCTTTTTCCTACAACTAGCAGTCATGAAGCTTCCAGTTCTACAGGCAGCAAGGGGAGGGGAACAGTGTCACTGCCTGTGCCTGAGTCCGCATCCCTTCCAAGAGCACCAGCAATAACCCCAACCACCACCACCATGACAACAAGCGGCACCAACATGACAATCTCTTCCACTCCCATTACACTTCCCATCCTGAGTCTTCCAGTGTCAGATGAAGAGCTGGAGCTGGATCTGAATCTGAGTGCCATAGCAAGGGAAATTCTGAGGAAGGATGGGAAATCATCTCAGTTTGTACTCCAAACCCTTCAAGTTTCCCTTAGAGCCAGGTCTCCTTCCCCAGAAGGCACTTTGGAGGAGGTTGAGGTAGAGGTTGTGGAGGCAGCTGGCTCAGCTGAGTCTGCTCCTCCTGTTGGTATGCCTCTGCTGGCTGAGAGGGGGTGAAAGGCAGCATCTGCACATGCACCTGCACCCTAGAAGCGAGCAGGTGGTATGGTTTAGGATCATTTTGAGCTGGCAGATTATCCCACGTATGCTATCTGCCTGCACTGCCGAGCCAAAACCACCCAGAGCAAGGGAATGAAACACATGAGCACCATGGGGATGCTGATGTATCTCTGTAGGCACCATCCTCTTGCCCTTGCTCCCCCTCAGCTTGGCACCAGTGGGAGCATGCCCAAGAAGGAATCCCCCTTTCACTCCAAAGCCCCATCCCCCCGAAGCAGAGACAGGCCACCCTGTAACAGTGGGGAAAATGTGGACAGAACTGGGGCACGGGGTGTTTGCAAAGGTGAGTGAGATCACCCAGACCATTGGGGAGATGCTTGCTCTAGATGGCCAGCCCTTCTCCTTAGTTGAGTGGCCAGGGTTCAGGTGGCTCATTGAGCCCATGGCCCCATCCTACCAAGTGCCCACATGCACCACCTGCAGCAGGACAGTGGTGCCCTCCCTTTATGAGGCATGCAGGGACTATTTGAGGGAGTAGCTGCACAAGGCAGGTCCACAGGTGACCTTACACTTCATCTTGGATATCTGGAGCAGCTGGGGTGGAGATCATGCATACCTCTCCTTCACAGGGTAGTGGTGTGACCAGTCACACCATCAGAGGTCTCTCCTTCAAGCTGAGGTAATGGAATGAGTCCCACACAGCAACAGAGATCATGGGGGCCATGGACCACTTGGTGCAGGGGTGGCTCATTAGCAGAGTGAGCTTACCGTGGGTTCATGGTCACCAACAGTGGAACCAATATGGTCAAGACAGTTCATGATGCCAACTTTGTTGGCATCTGCTGTGTGACAAACAAGTTGCACCTCATTGTCATGGATGCCTTGGAGGGGGACAGGGCTGCTGGTGATGGCACCAGCACCACCAGCAAGCTCATTTTAAACTGCAGGAAGGTGGCAGGCTGCTTCCACCGGAGCATCAAGAGGGGCAAACAGGCAGAGCTGAGCATCCCGCAGCACAAAATCATGCAGGATGTGGAGACTCGGTGGAACTCCACATACCAGACACTCAAGAAGCTGATGGAGCAACAGAAGGCCATCCATGAGAGGACCTTGTTCATGGAGATTGGGATCAGTGACCCCCTTAACAGAGCTCAGTGGGATACCATCTCCCAGATCTTGGTGGTCGTCAAGCCCTTGCTTGAGGCCACCAGGAACCTTAGCATTGCTGATGCCCTCCTTATCCAGGTGATCCCTATAGTGAGGGAACTTCAGAGCCAAATGGAGAGCTTCCAGGGGATCATTGTTCCTGGCTGGGGCAAGCTGCTGTCACCAGATGTGCAGGCACTGATGAGGAGGCTGAAGGAGGGCATCAGGAAATGGTTTGATCCCTTGTGATCCAGTACAGTCCACATGCTGGCTGCCATGTGTGACCCAAGGGCGAATGGGAGTGTCTCCAATCTCTCAGGCCTGATCCTCAAAGGCAATTTACAAAGCACTTTTCACAGATGAGCCTATGAAATGCACTTCATCAATCTTCTAGGTACAGAAACCCATGGACTCAATATAGACATTGGAATTATGACACACTACAATGTGCTGGATATATGACTTCCCAGGTATCTCTCCACTTTTACCTGCTATATCACCCTTCCCCCTACCACACTCCAGCCTGTTCTTCACCCCTTGATGCCTCCATTTCCAGTCTCACTGACTGGATTTTTTCCCTGCATTGCATGCCAACCTCTGGCTTCTTTACTATTCCTTCCATCCAGGAAGAGCACATACACAAACTGCAGGTGTTTCCTTGGCCTGATGAAGGGTTTTTCAACCTGAAAGCTTGTTAAAATATATTTCTCCAACTATTCAGTTGGTCAACTAAAACATATCAGATTGACCCAAATAACCTTGCCTGCCATGTCCTTAGACCAACATGGCTACAACCTACACCCCTAACACCTGTCCTCAGTCAGCTGACCGGAAGGAGGCAGGGCCCTGGGAACATAGCCCCAGGGCTGGAGAAGAAGCTCCTGCAGGAAAGGAAAGAAAAGTTGTGTGACAGTTTGGCTGCCTGAGATGCTGCTGTTGTTACTGTGCTGCTTACTAAGTTATTTTATTACCTGTTGTTATTTAAAGTGGTGGACTGAACTGAGGATGTAGGGGAGGAGGAGGTCTCATTAAGGCACACTACCATGTCATGTAGAGGCCCCAGTACCAGTGAGAGCACACCTTAACACACACACACACAGTCACACGTCATGAGTTTTGCATGTCAGTAGCTTGAGGTACAGCTTCCCAGAAGCCCCTGCACCTATCTCCTTGAAACATGGCAGGCTTTGTGGCCTCAGCAGGGGCTACCATGCCTGATGTTTTCACCCCCATGTGCTGTCACGCTTACAAGTGACATTAGTTTTGCTCTGAACAGTTTGAGGTGCAGTTTCCAAAAACCCCTACACCTATCTCCTTGAAACTTGGCAGGCTTTGTGGGATAAGCAGGACCCACACTCACTGTTGTTTTCATTTGAATCAGACAGAAAATGACAAAATTATAGACATTTTCATGATTCCCCATTATAGTCTAGGGGGGAAATGCCAAAATGTATCAAAACAGCGAAACATTTTCAACAAAACGGAACAGAACAGTGCTTCAAAATGAAACAAAATGTCAATATGAAACACTATCCCTTCAAAATGGTGAAACAGAAGTCAAAACAAAATGGTGCTGTCTCACACAGTCCTAATAGTTTATGTGCTTGTACATACCCCTACCCCCAGTTGAGGGTGCATTGGGCTTTGAAACACTTCCCAGAGGAAGTTAAATTAAAGATTATCTCCAAAATGTTCACACTTCATATAAGTATTGATGTCTAAGTTTTGGCATCTAAGTTTAATAATTGTGGCCTTTGGTCTTTG